CGCCTCGTCCCGGCGGTTCTGAAATGACTTGTTGTTTTAAGTGGTTTATTTATTCACAGTTCTGTTCTCCTGTCTCCGTCCGCAGAGGTCCGAGACCCAGAGGACTGCGCCCAGGTGCTACGAGGTGTGGCGAGCTCGCCGGCCTGCCCGGCCCAGTACGGCCTGACTCTGCTCAGCGTGGTCCGACACCTCGCCCGACTCTGTTTGCACGGTTCCAGAAACCAGCTGAGCCCCCGAAACCTGGCGGAGAGCTTCAGTCCACTGCTGTTCAGACAGACTGCAGGGTCAGTCACACACACACACACACACACACACACACACACACACACACACACACACACACACACACACACACACACAAATAGTAATAAAAGCAGAAATGATGTCCAGTTGTTTTTATTTTATTCAAAAGGGAAGCAAAACGTTTGTGCTTTTATTTTGAAGATGGAATTGGTTCTGTTGGTTTTGGCTGAGGGGCGGAGACTCCTTCCAACCAGCTTCCTGTAAAAACACCAGTCTGGTGGATCAGGTCAGAGATGGTTAAGTTTAGGCAAAAAGGTCAGAAATGTTTTTCTCAAATTCAAACTATTCGAGCTCAAACAGACTGAAAGTCACAGCGTTCCTGCAGGTCACTGAAATTAAAATATCAGAAAATAAGGACTTAAAATGTCTCATATTTACTGTAAATTTGTAGTGGTGACGTCATGCTAATCGTTTGGCATAAAACTCCAGGTAGATAATTAGGTCATTCTTTGTGAGAAAATAAAAAGTCATTGTGCATAATAAAAGTCTGAACTATAAAACGCTGACACCTGATTATCTAAAAGTTCATATGAATTAATCTTGAAGTAGGATTTAGAAAATGTTTAGCAGTAATAGGAAGTAATAGTTATTTCTACCAATGTGCAAAATGACTGGTGTGGTTCTTTAATGCTGCTGCTGCTGCTGCAGGTGTTTAGATGTTGAACTGAGTTTCCTGCTCTGCCTCTATTTTAAAACATCGTTTACCAGAGAACAAAAACAAAAGTCTGAGTAAAAGAAATCATTTAGACGTTGTTCGGTCTTACAAAGGTCTTAAAAAGCATTGATTTAGATTTTTTAAATGCTGCAGGAACAGGAAGTCACACCTGGAGGTGGGGTTGGGTGATATGATGATAGAGATTTGGCGACACGGTTTCCACTAAGTCCTGGATCCAGCTGCCTCTGTAGGTGACGTGATCCTGGCAGCAGGATGTGACAGTGGCAGTCACAGTGGTTGGTGGCGGTGCACATCTGAGCTTCATGTTTTCCAACCACCACAGAAGAAGAGAGTGACAAGAGGATGAAATTGTAAATACAGAGCATCCTGGGTGTGACCAACCCAAGACAAGGGAAAGGAAGTTGTAACTAAAAGCAGTCTGACTCATGTTGTGAGGACGTTTCGGTCAATTTAAACCATTTCCTAATTAAATTTACAGAATTACTGTATCGTGATATGAAGTTACAAGCACTGATAGATGTTGGTCACATCACCCTCCCCTCAGTCAGAGCTAGATTTTCTTTTCCTCGAGATATGATGCAGAAACATTCAGGGACGTCTGAAGGTGAAGTCCCCGGTGTTATTCAATTTATAGTTATAAACATTTTTAACTTTTTAAAAAAACTTTTTCTTTAATTTTTTATGTCTTAATTGACGGCCAACAGTTTACAGGGGAGACGAGGGAAAAGAGGATGTTTCTGTTCATTACTTCATTTGGCAAATTTTAAAAAATGTATGAGAAAGTTGATGTTATAATGAGTAATATGATGATAATGTGAATAACATGAATCATGAGAACAGGAAGTGTATGTTTCACTGAAAGTCAGCGGCACCAAAAACTTACAGCCGTTTTCTCTTTGTGTCTCTTATGAGTCTTCCTGAGACGCTCGAACAAAAACTCCAGGAGCAACAAGGTTCAAACGTCCTCTGTGTGAGTGAGTGATGTTGATGAATCTGACTGTTGAGTCTCCGTGTGTCTGCTCAGGTCGGAGTCCGGTTTGGATCCTCTGGTTCAGGTCCTGGAGGTTCTGATAACCAGCGAGCTCAACATGAACCAGGCTGCACCAGGTAACACACACACACACACACACACACACACACACACACACACACACACACACACACCTGACTCTGTGACTGGAGACAGAAAGGATTGTTGAAGACAAATTTACCTGAACGTGTCACTGAAACATTAATTTCTTCCCTTCAGCTGTTAATATTAATATAGTTTTTTAAAGCTCCATATTTTCTTCTTCTTCTGTGTTTTATTTGAAGTGTTGATCCATCAGAAGATATAAAAACCATCTCAGTGTAGTTTCACATCTCCTCTCTCAGGCTTCTCTCTGGAGCCCCAGGTACAACAGGTCGGTGAGCCAATCAGAAGAGAGGAGGCTCTGAGCGTCTCTTCTGATTGGCTGACTGTTTTCTGAGTGATCCAATAAAAATATAGCAGATTTCAGGTAAAAACACTCAGAGAAACCAAATCCTGCAAGGTTTGGATGGTGGGTCCAGGTGGGCGGGGCTTGGGGACTGCTTTGTTATGAAATCACAAAGTTCCAGAAGTCCTGACGGCTGGTTTTAAGGCTCAGTTTCTGAATACAGGCTGTGTGCATTTCTCTGTGGACTGAGGCTTTGATACTTTCACAGTATTAATATAGAAGCTAGAGCTGATCTATAATCACACTACACATGGACACAGACCTTTACACTGGAGGAGCTTTGAGAAATGGACTCAAAGGCTCTCAGTGTTTTATAGGACAGCTGTTTATGGTCGTCTGTGACTGTTCTCTGTGTGAACTGAATCATTCAGATGTCACTTGATTTCCTCGAAGGTCGTTTTCAGTTCCTCTAACAGCCGTGAAGCAGCGTCACGCTGGATCTGTGTCACTGTCATAACGTCGCAGCTGTTGCTCAATCGTACGAGTCAAATATCAGATGATGAGCTCTGTGACCTCGTTATCTCATTCTCTGATCTGAGAGTTCCTCGTTTAATTCAAAACTCTTTGTATTTTAATTAGACAGAGTTGTTGTAGCTGCGGCTGAGAGTTTTAACAGAACATTGTTTTTATGTTCTTCAGTGTCGGGTATGAATCTGAAACCTGTGTCCAGTGTTACTGATGATAAGGCACGTTTGGTTTTACGGGTCTAATATTTGTCTCATTCATATGGTTATAAACTCCACGTCCATCTGGCTGTTGTCTCTTAGTCTCAAAGAGTCTAAAAGGTTATGAACCTCTGCTGTGGACACATTTCTTATACACACAATAAGAACAATACACAGCTCTGTACAGTGGAGGCATTAACCCCTTCAGAAGCAGGTGAATTATTATGAGTTAATACAACAAACTTAATAAAGATGACACGTGTCTATTCAGGTAATCAGAAAGATGATCGGCAGATGAATCGATAATGAAGCGTCTGATGAATTGAGTAACAGTAACTCAGTCAGTCAGTGGATCAGTCGGTCGGTCAGGCTGAGCGGCAGCTGAAACGATGACATCATCCATCCACAGAGTGAGAGATGCAGCAGAGGAGAGAGGAGAAGAGGGGAGGGGAGGGGGGTGTTGCCTCGGTGATATCACTGCCATCGCAGGATTGGCTGGGGGCAACGGTGATGTCACACATCTCCAAGCTGCTCTCCTGAGCTTTGAACTGAGGCTGAGGGAGAGAGAGAGAGAGAGAGAGGGAGGCAGACGGAGAGAAAGTTGCGTCGTTTTAAACGTCTGAACAACTGAAGAGGAGACGAGGCTGAAATCTGATGAATGCTGGGAAAATGTTTTCTGATAGTTTCTCTGCAGAGTCTCAGCGAAGGTGGAATTGTAAGAGATCTACCTGAAGGTGCAGACGGAGTGAGAGAGAGAGAGAGAGAGAGGATATCAGTGCGGTCGAGTAGAAATTAGAGGAAGAGTCGAAAAGAGAGACGAACGGCTCAGTGAGGAAAATGTAGCTGGACCCGTTTCCTTCCAGATGACGTCAGTTTTTTCGAGGCAGGACCGGAGCGCTCGGCTGAAGGCAGGAGACCATGAGATCCAGAAAAGAAGGATCCGCGTTTCATTTCACCTCTGAGGCGCCGCGGAGGCGGGCGACAGTTTAGAGGCCGACATGGAGCGAGAGGAGGGAGGCAGGGCCGAGGCCGAGCCGCCGAGGGGAGGACGAGACAAAATCCTCTGCTACATTAACATGCAGAGTCCAGGTAGGAGCTCAGACCTGAACCTGAGCCGTTAGAGGGAACCGACACCTGCTGGCAGTCTGACTCACAGCACATAAGATGGATGTGGAGGCTCCTGCTCATTGTCCTGAGCCATTTTGTGAAATGTTGTTTGGACTAATGAGTTAAGTTATTTAATTAAATCTACACTGACAGAAATCAAAACTTCTACACGTAAACATCTGTGTGAACCCTCAGGTTTGGATGTTACAGGTAAACGTCAGTCACAGACGCCAACACACACACACACACACACACACACACACACATTTAATCTCAGCAGCAGTGTGGTTAAGAAAACATTTTGGCTCCAACTGATTCTTTTCATTATAAATTCATCTAATTATTCTCTTGATTAATTTCTCCGTCGATAATAAAACAGATCAGAAAACAGTGAGCCGCGTCCGAGATGATGAAATATAATCTTTCTTTTTTTTTTTCAATTTGACCATCAGTCCAAAACCAAAAAATCTTCATTTTACCATCAGATCTGACAAAAGAATCATCTGAGAAACTTCAACCAACAAACGTTTGAAATCTTTATTTAAACAGAAAAATAGCTGCTGATTCATTCACCATTGATCGATGAATCAATTGATAAGCTGATCGTTGAAGCTGTAGCGTCGTTACCAAGCTGCAACCTCCGAGGCTGAAACATGAAGCACCAACACAAAGAACCAGAAGCTGCAGTTCCTCTAACGACCACTAGAGTCTGGCTCCAACAGTGAGTCAGTCCCCATAGACTCCCATGTTAAAATGTCCAACTTTACAGCAGAAATAAACATGTTTACAGCCTGGTACAAAAACTGTTTGTGTCTCTAGAGCTAATTTCCTCCTTCATGACACCTGTTTATATACTGTAACTCACCTGTTTACATTTTATTGGGGACTAAGGTTATGGAGGATTGAGGGGCGTGGCCTCTTTGAGTGACAGGTGGGTGAGCGTATGCTTGCAATAAACCAAGGTCTCAGCTCCACATATATAGACTGACCATATAGACTTTGGTCATGACACCGAAACGATGGGACGAGCCTGTTCTCGTTAATCGTCGCTTAATTTGATTAAATACAAAACTGTGAAAATGTGCCGAGCAGAGCGCAGACCTCCCACAAGGAGGTGTGTTGAGTCACCTTCAGTGCACTGCTGTGGAGTGCTGTGACCCAACAACACCTGCTCAGTGATTGGCTCCATTATCAAGGGATGTGATTGGCTGTTAACCGCAGTGAGAAGAACTGGACATTGAAAAACTGATATAAAATGGGGAAATCAATTATTATAGTAATTCTCAGTATCTGATACTGTGTTGTAATTAGAGCTGTAATTACAATCAGTCAGTTAATTGATTTTTTGATTAGTAATCCTTTAGTATTTGCTGGTTGTAGCTTCTCAAATCTGAAGGTTTTTTATCTCGTTTAATAGCAAATGAAACATTCTTTGAGTTTGGATAATTGATGAGTTCACCGTCTGCAGATTAAGTGAAAATAGAAATAGTCATTAGTTGCAGCCAAAGCTGAAATTTGGTCCTAAAAAGACGTAAAACCTGGAAGATGGACGCTTGATTTTTACTAACTTGCACTGTTGAAGCGTCACATAAACATCAGCAGACTTTTTCAAGCCAGTCATTTTTTTTCCCACACTTCCACATTATGTAACAAATAAATTGAATTACGTTTAAGAGAGTTTCCTGAATCAGAGCATTCACAGGAAATACAACAGGAAACAGTCAAAGTAAGAGTCAAATAGATTAACAACCTAAAGTAATTAGTGGTGTGGGCAAACCTCCCCATTTAAAGCTCCTCCAGTGTAAAGGTCTGTGTCCATGTGTAGTGTGATTATAGATCAGCTCTAGCTTCTATATTAATACTGTGAAAGTATCAAAGCCTCAGTCCACAGAGAAATGCACACAGCCTGTATTCAGAAACTGAGCCTTAAAACCAGCCGTCAGGACTTCTGGAACTTTGTGATGTCACAACAAAGCAGTCACCAAGCCCCGCCCACCTGGACCCACCATCCAAACCTTGCAGGATTTGGTTTCTCTGAGTGTTTTTACCTGAAATCTGCTTTATTTTTATTGGATCACTCAGAAAACAGTCAGCCAATCAGAAGAGAGGCTCAGAGCCTCCTCTCTTCTGATTGGCTCACAGACCTGTTGTTACTAGAGCTCCAGAGAGAAGCCTGAGAGAGGAGATGTAAAACTACACTGAGATGGTTTTTATATCTTCTGATGGATCAACACTTCAAATAAAACACAGAAGAAGAAGAAACGTGGAGCTTTAAATCTGTGACATGCTCTTATTATTGGCCAATGTATCGGTGCCTCCACAGATTTTATTAGAACGATTAGATGTGGAGAATTTAAAACAGTTTTCAGGTTTGCATTAAGCAGCCGATGCTAATGAAGGAAACAAAGTTATTTTCTGACCGTTTTAATTTCTCTCTCTGTCTGATTGTGTCTTTTCAGCTTTACCTCCTAAACCAGTGAAGTCGTCGACTCCAGCAGCTTCCAGTAGTTTTAACAACAGTATGGCTCTGCAGGACGCCGAGTGGTACTGGGGAGACATTTCCAGGTAACACACACATATATCAGATATATACAGTGTATATATATATATATATATGTATACAGACTAAAAGCTAAACCTGAACAATTAAAGGAAGGAACTAAAAAATCAATCCTACAAAAAATGAATGATGAGTTTATAATCTAGGTTTCCAGGTTAAATTCACTTGTACAGTTTCCATCCTGTAGACATGAGAACAGACATGTCTTTATTTTATTTAACATTTATTTTTTATAGAACTTGTGCCCTGATCTAATGTAACACCTGTCCACAGATGTCCATGTAAAATACACACGTACACAAGTACCGATCAGCAGTATCGATAAAAGTAGTACTACTGTTAAAATCTTAATGTCGTCCATATTTACAGAGAGGAGGTGAACGAGAAGCTGAGAGACACAGCTGACGGTACATTTCTGGTCCGAGACGCCTCCACGAAGATGCACGGAGATTACACTCTGACTCTGAGGTGAACTGTCCGACGCCGTCGCCTCGCTCACGTCCACGTGGTCAAACATTAACATTGATCTGACTCATGACTTACCGCCATTTATAACTGGTGAAAACAGCCTTAAAGTAAAGTGTCAAACACATCACCGTTTATTAACCTGTTACAGATGGTTGTAACTCATTAGTCAGATTAATGAGCAGTAATAATGAGCCTGCAGGAAAACTGTTATAACTTGTTTCTAATTGTTTATTTATGATTTATAAAGTGTTTACAACAGAAATAATCACCTGATTATTAACCATTTATAAATCCTTTTATAAGGGTCGTCTGATTGTAATGAAATATTTTACTAGAATGATAATTGAATTATTAATGAAGAATCAGACGTCTGCAGGGTTTGAAGGAAAAAACATCAGTATTAATGTTTTAATATTTCTGAATTCTTCTCGGCTAACTTCACCGTCACATCAGTCAGACCTCAGTTTGTCTGGATCAACATTACAATATATGATATATAATATTTGGTTTGTTGTGACGTCCTGCAGGAAAGGAGGCAACAACAAACTGATAAAGATTTTCCATCGGGAGGGGAAGTACGGCTTCTCCGACCCGCTGACCTTCAGCTCGGTGGTGGAGCTGATCAACCATTACCGCCACGAGTCTCTGGCCCAGTACAACCCCAAACTGGACGTCAAGCTGCTCTACCCAGTCTCCAAGCACCAGCAGGTCTGTCCCGCTGTCCGAGCGTTCTGCTCCTCCTGTGCCGGTTGTTGAGTCGTCTGACTGGACGTTGTGTGGTTGTGTTTGCTCAGGACCAGGTGGTGAAGGAGGACAGTATTGAAGCTGTGGGGAAGAAGCTCCACGAGTATCACCTGCAGTACCAGGAGAAGAACCGAGAGTACGACCGGCTGTATGAGGAGTACACCAGGACGTCGCAGGTACGATACACCGCACTACAGCACACTGCAGATTAGACATGACACGGTGAGGAGATGTAGTGTCAGGATTATAGTGACCAGAATGATCAGCTGTCAGTATCATCACAGTGTTGTTAAAATGTGCTGAACATGTTCAGAAGGTAATAAAACAACCTGAAGTCATTTCACCAAGTGGCTGTTTGTATTTAAACATTAAAATAACAACATGTCCAACACGTCTGTGTCGTAAAGGCCCAGCAGCACTGAGTCTGCTGCTGCTGCTGCATGTCCACTCTGTAGACAGGGGAATAGTGAATTTATTGTTTTCTGTGCTGTGACGTCTTTCAGAGACAGACACTGTAGACACACCTGTCACCTGTCCAGCACGGTGCTGTTAAACCAGAAACACGGCGGCTACACTGCGCTCGGGGATGAAACACTGAGCTGCAGCCATTTTTAAATCACCGATCGAAGCGTCTCACACGGAGGATGAGCGGCTACAGCTCACTGTTTCTCTCCTGCGTCTGTGTGCGCTCTGTGGTCATGTGACATCAGAACAGAAAGGTAAACCCGTCTGATGGTGTAAAAGGAGTCAGTCACTATTAAACTCGCTTATATCCACCAACTTAGGTACAAACAGGTTTTAGAAGCTGAAAAATCTCCGGAGTAGAGCTGTCACTTCTTCATGTGACCTGTTGTTCATCAGATCTTCACGTTGTCGAGTCATTTCGCAGCCAGAGATTCATCTCTTAGATCAGTGTCCACTGTCACTGATATCTGGCTCTATGGACACATGTTGTATTTAAAAACGATTGAGTTTTTCTTAAATCAGCAGAAACACAAACTGAAGTTCTGAATGATTCAATGATTGATGATTCAAACCGTGTTACTCGTCCTCTGATCAGATCCTGGTTTAAATCCTAATTTTACCAGATGAAAACTGTTTTTTTTTTTTTTTAATTTTATTTCAATTAAAGATATCTGTGGCTGACCAAGTAAAGACATGTATATTTATCACATTAGTTATGAGTTATTATTGATAAGGATATCGATTTGGTATTGGTACCAAAACTGAGGCTTCCTAATGCCACTAGTAGTTCATCATGCTCACATTGTTGCAGTAACAGGCCGACACCACCAGGTGGAGCTGTCACCTCTCACTCACAGTAGAAATACAGTAGATGATAGAATATGTAAATGAAAATAAAACCAGGAACCTGCAAGAAAAGTAAAATATGAGGTAATTGATTAAAAGCCAAATTAAATAAATAGGTTTTCATTTCTGTAGATTTTTGTATCGTATTTTCAGTCAATCCAAAATCACTGTGGTAATTACAACTTCTGCTCACGCCCGTGTCACGCGTGTCCGTCTCCGTCCCTCAGGAGATCCAGATGAAGAGGACGGCCATCGAGGCGTTCAACGAGACCATCAAGATCTTCGAGGAGCAGTGTCAGACTCAGGAGCGCTTCAGCAAAGAGTACATCGAGAAGTTTCGCCGGGAGGGCAACGACAAGGAGATCCAGAGGTAGGAGGCTGTTGCCAAGGCAACTGAGACGGAGACCTTTAAAACCCACTAATTTATATATATATATTTGAAGGGGGCCTGGCTGCCGTAGCAACAGAGCCTGCAGGAAGAAACACCTGCTGGTGAATTTAGTCCGAAGCTGAAAGGAGGTTTGTTGTCAGGTCTGATGAATTTACAGGGACCAGTGTCCGTCCTGAGGTCCAGCTCTCTGGTGATTCAGACTGTGTCTACATTAAAGGTCCCATCCAGTCTGAAGGTCTGTGTCCATGTGTAGTGTGATTATAGATCAGCTCTAGCTTCTATATTAATACTGTGAAAGTATCAAAGCCTCAGTCCACAGAGAAATGCACACAGCCTGTATTCAGAAACTGAGCCTTAAAACCAGCCGTCAGGACTTCTGGAACTTTGTGATGTCACAACAAAGCAGTCACCAAGCCCCGCCCACCTGGACCCACCATCCAAACCTTGCAGGATTTGGTTTCTCTGAGTGTTTTTACCTGAAATCTGCTATATTTTTATTGGATCACTCAGAAAACAGTCAGCCATTATCGATCAACACTTGAAATAAAACACAGAAGAAGAGGAAAATATGGAGCTTTCATGTGCAAACTAGTTCAGCATTGGAAAGAAACAAATGATGAATTAATGATGTAACACAACTAACAAATACCAAAAGACCACAACTCAAATACAAAATGTATAATAAGAGGTTAGAGGGTTTTTAAATGCTGAAGTAAATTCTTACATCAACTTCTTCTTCTTCAGACACATAATTAGATTTTTTATTCTCTCTCTAAAGGATCATGGAGAACTACGACAAGCTGAAGTCTCGCATCAGTGAGATCGTGGACAGCAAGCGCCACCTGGAGGTGGATCTGAAGAAACAGGCCGCCGACTACAGAGAGATCGACAAGAAGATGAACAGCATCAAACCAGACCTGATCCAGCTCCGCAAGACCAGGGACCAGTACCTCATGTAGGTCACACCCGGACGCAAACACACAGGTCAAATCAAAACCGTATAGTACGACACATTGTACTAACAGCTGCTGTGTGTTTCTGTGTGTGTTTCTCAGGTGGTTGACACAGAAGGGAGTCCGTCAGAGGAAACTGAACGAGTGGCTCGGTCTGAAGAACGAAACCACAGAGGAGTAAGTCTGAACCATCGAACGTGTGTCTGGATGTAAAGACACATTGACACTGTGGCAGGAAGTGACACCACTGAGCCGACCTCTAACGCGTTTGATTGAAAACACAAAGTGTAACTTCTTTGTGTTTCACGAAGGATCCACATGTTGGAAACTTTGTTGTCCAGGAAAAGGACGTATTTGAAATGGGACAGTCTAGTCCCACCGCTGTGACGCAATCAGTCTTCAAATGGCCCCTGAATTGGGACGCAGCCCATCTCTATAACCGTCATGACTTCAGAGGCCACTGCGCTCAAGACATGAAACAATCACTTAGCAAGACTGAGGAAGACAATGAGATGTGGCTGAAAGCTTTGGAAAAAGCTGGTTAGAGGACCAGTTAAAAGAATTAAAAGATGTAAAAGTTGCAGGACTACCTCAAGACAGCACAGCGTTGTCGCTTTCATTAGCAGTTTTATTTGTGATTCACCACAAGGGGGCGCCGTTCACCTTGTACAGCAGACAGGTGAACAGTTGGAGCAGCCTCTGTAGGACTCACTGAGGTTCACACTTGTCCTCACCTCAATGTGTGTCTGTTCTCAAAGTTAGAATACAGTATAAAAGTAAAGTGCAACCAAAGTTTTTCTATAATTCTATATTTAATTAGTTGAGGAAAGATTCTGTTTATATTTGGCCACAATAGTCATAGAATGAAAATGTGAGACCTTGTGTGGCTAACATGTCCTCCTCCCCACAGCGAGTACAGTATGGTGGAGGATGAGGAGGACCTTCCTCACCACGACGAGCGACTGTGGCGTCTGGGAAACATCAACCGCAGTCAGGCCGAGTCTCTGCTCCGAGGGAAGCGAGACGGCACCTTCCTGGTCCGAGACAGCAGCAAACCGGGCTGCTACGCCTGCTCCGTGGTGTAAGTCTCTTCACCTGTCTGTCTGCTCACCTGTGTGTGTGGATGTTTACCTGTCGACTGTGGAAAAACCTGGCTGGAGGCTTATAACGCACTTTCCGTTGGGTCTTACCTTCATTCATTCACCGTGTCAGTGGCCTACAGGTCCTTTACTGAAGAGATTCTCAGGATCGTTCAGGAGGTTTTACTGGTCAATGGTCGGGTTCTAGAGGTTCTTTAGGTTGTTCTAGGGGTTGTCCAGAAGATGGTCATTGAGGGAGGTTCTGCGAATGGTCATTAATAAGGTTCTGGAGGTCTTTGAGGAGGTTATTGAGGTTCTTTAAGATGTTGTAGTCAGCGAGGAGGTTCTGTTTGTAAGGTGATCATTCAAGAGGTTCAGAGGATGGGTTTAGGAGGTTTTAGTAGTCATTAATGAGGTTCTGGAGCTCCTTGAGGAGGTTCTAGAGGTCCTCTGGGGGGGGGGGGTCCTTTACAAGGTTGTAGTGGAGCCATGTTTGGAGTCGCTGGTCATGTGTTACTCATCAACAGTGGGAACAAACCAGCTCAAGGTTTAAGAGAATTACAGTTTGTGTTGCGTCATGTTTGTGTCTGTACTTTGAGTCTGTCTGTGTGACCCCACTCTGACCTCAGTTTCTTCTTCTTCTCTCAGGGTGGACGGAGAGGTGAAACACTGCGTCATCAACAAGACGAGCACCGGTTACGGTTTTGCGGAGCCCTACAACCTGTACGGATCCCTGAAGGAGCTGGTGCTGCACTACCAGCACACCTCGCTGGTCCAACACAACGACTCGCTCAACGTCACGCTGGCCTTCCCCGTCTACAGCCAGCAGAGACGGTGACCCGCCCACTTCCTCCTCGTTTATACCGCCATCGCAGACCAGCGGCCAGACCTCGTTTACACACCCGACCGCCACCCCTCCCCCCAGAACACGAGCCAGTTAGTCCGACACGCCTCACCAAATGAACGGGAGGGAAGTCAACACCTCCCTTGTCTCTCCTCGCAGACCAGTACCTGACCACACGATGCTTTTCACTCTGAACGCGTCACGTTTAAAGCTCGGCGTGAGAAGCCGGCTCGATGACGACAGACGTCAAGCTGCACTTTGTTTAACAGACAATAAAAAGAATCAGTCCTGGTGCTGGGTTCCTAAGGTTCACTAAGGTAAGACACATGCTACGAGGAGTGAAATAAAATGAACCAGGAGGAAATGAGGGGTCAGTACAGAAGGTCGTCTTAAATCTGGCACCTGGCACCTCGACTGTGACGAGTCCTGTTGGCTCTTCCACACCTGGAGGATTCTGTGCAGCAGGTACAAACAAGCCCTGATACGGTAAAACTATATGGATCCTTCAAAAAAAAAGGATCATATGAAGGAACAGAAACACATGAGAGGAGCATGTTGCCGATCACGATGATCTGTGGCTGCAAACAAAAACATAATGATGTTTCTGTCAAAGGTCTCTTTACTGAAACGTCACTATTCAGTAAATTTACCCTCAGTGATGACTCATCATTTATTCTCCCACTCACCTGTCTGAGCTCAGGTGTGACTGGGTATTGTTTGAATTTTATTTTAACACAACAGCAAAGCGTTTTAGTAACGATACCACAGCTGTTCTTTTTTTAATTTTTCCTCACGTTGAGAAATTTTAACGTTTTTCTACAAAATCCCTTTTTGCAGCGTTTTCAAATGTTCAGACTGAAACTGGAAAATTAAAATCAGGAACACGAGTTCATGGATCTGAGCAGACGTGTGAACGCGTTGGTCCGCGGCTCTTCTTCCCTTAAAATGCTTGAGACTCGTTTCTTTGTTCAAGTGAAGCCGATGATTTCGGTCCAGTCGTGTTATGCGTTGCGGACCGGTCCTCACAGCTCAGGCTCTGATTGGTTCACAGGATGTCTGAACGTCAAACATTAGAGAACAAGACTCAAAAATCCACTTCCTTGACTCGGACTCTCCAGGTCCCGTTTTATAGAAATTATTATAAAATTATAAAATTCAGTAACTCTGTCACGTAGACATATAAAAAAAAAATGGTGACTAAAACAGGGAGTCTCGTTGTTTTCCCCTGAACGTCTCTGAGGGTTGGAGTTCGTCGCCATCGTGGCCTTGAGGTCCAGAGTTTGAAACGAGTCCCATGTGATTTTTGACGCCGCGGCTGCTTTGATTTTCCAGTTTACTGTCTGTGGAGAAACGAGGTACTGTACGGAGGTCGGAGGTCGGAGCTGGTCTGGACTGAACTAATGACTCCTCCTTTAATCACAGCACTGAACTGCTGGTCCAGCACGCTTCAACAGAACAGAACCACAGCTGGACCGGTCTCTGAAGCTACACTTGTGGACCAATGATGATGATGATGATGATGTCAGATGCAAAATGACGGACAATCCAGAGAGAGACTTCTTGCAACCACTGTGAGTGACTCTGAACGAGGTTTAACATGAGGGCGAATCAGCTGATCCGCATTTCATATCAGGAGAAAAACCTGCATCCCGAGCTCATCCAAAGCCCCCCTCCCCCACCCCTCTCACCCCACCCCGAAAAACCCCACCACCAGTGTTTTCCAGGTTCCTGTTTCTTCAGGTCTCGTTTGGACGTTGGGAGTCATAGTTTTTGGTGGCTGGTTTAGTTTTTGCAGAATGGACGGATGAGTTCTTTATTCTTTCATTTCAACAAACCTCCGTCAGCCCAAAGTCCTGGTCCCGGACACAAAGATCCTGCTGGATCAAGACTGTAAGTCCGGAATGACGAGAACTGGATCTCATTTTGCATCCAAACACTTCTGGATTTAACCGGACGCCTCGTGGACGACACGACGCTCGGCTGATTTAAACCACAACATTTTGTCTTTATGGATTATTTTTCTTTTTTGTGCATAAAGACACTCGACTTCCTCTAAGAGGCGCCAGGTACAGGAGAGGAGACGGTCTACAAGAATTTGAGGGAGTCTGTAGTCATGGTAACCACCTGGTCGTGCCCTCACAGCACACATTACGAAATGTTTGGAAATGTCCTGAATTTTTCAAGTTCTGGTGTTTTCTGTTTTTTTGTTTTGTTTTGTTTTATTTTTCTGAGTATTGTCTGTGACACCTGGTAGATTCTGTGAGGGAGGAGCAACTCAAAACACTTCAAATTAAAACCAACAAAAACCTGTAACATTAGAAAATAAGAAGTCATGAAGAGTTAATTGTTTAGGATCTGATTAATAAAACAGTTGGTCTGATCATCTGAAGGCCTTTATACTGAAATACTGAAACTTCCTGTCTCTGCTTTGTTCAAATTATTTGTGTCGGTGTGTGTGTGTGTGTGTGTGTGTGTGTTGTATGGCTGCAACTGAAGATTCTTTTCATTATTGATTAATCTGTTGATTAATTTTATGATTAATGATTAGGTTTACCACTGGTCGATCCTTAAGTAAAAGTAATACCTTAATGAAAACATACTGTGTCCTGTGTTTCAAATTCAGCTTCAGCAAGTGTACAGAAGAATTACCAGCTAAATGTATTTACAGTAGAAGTAAAAGACTCATTTTACAGAATCTCATGTAAAAGATAATATTTTGTCCACACAGGTTGTTTTCTTATAGAACAAGATCAAAAATAGTCATGGAGAAAAATAGTTCGGGAGTTTCAGTATAGTATAGTAGCTCTGGTTTTGTTGCAGGATCCGTTACAACAACAATTAATAAATGCATTTTATTAAAAACTTAAAAACTGACTAGAACAATTCTTCGATTACCAGAACAGCTGCAAATTCATTTTCTGTTGATCAACTGATCGATTAATTGACTAATCACTGCTGCTCGATACAACTTTGTCTAATTGGTGACGTCACATAAACACAGCAGAGCTTGAATCTGTAATAATGAATCATATAAACTGATCATATGTTTAGTATGGAAGCAAATGTCTTTTTACCAAACACATGAAAACCCAAAGATATTCAACGGAGCTGCAACTAACGATTATTTTCATTATCAGTTAATCTGATTATTTTCTCGATTTCATCGCTGGGGCAACAAATGATCAGATAATGGTGAAAAATGTTAATTACAGTGGATTCATCCGACCTTCCCTCTAAAACTCAGTAGATGTTGAGTTTACTGTCGCACAAACACAGTGTTGAACCTGGAACCTGCAAATGTTTAGAGAAAATTCCCTGAAGAATAAATTGATTGTTTTTCAATACTCAAGTTTACAAGGATGTTTATCGGTGAAAAACTGCAAATTTAAGAGACGTATAAGACAGAAGCTGTAACCAGAGAATGGTTGGTCTCCAACACTTAATCAGTTATCACAATTCTTGTAATTAATTTATCAGCTGATCATTTCAGCTCAATTATAAAAATAAACTTGATTTGTGTGTCACCTTTCATACAACAAATGTAGCACAAAGTGCTTCACATGAAAAGACATAATGAACATAAAACATGTTAAAAATATTGATGTGAAATGAGATGGATAATAAATGAAAATAATAAATGAAATAATAAATAAAATTTAAAAAAAATAATATTTGACAGACGTATCAGAGAGGTTAAAATGATCTGCACAGCTGAGGAGTCACAGGGGAGAAGAGACAGGATTTTTAACTTTTGAGTTTAGTTCAGGAAGTAAACAAATCATTTACTGATGTGAAGCTAATACGGACTCAGGAGACTTCAGGGCAGATCAGTAGTAGCAGTGAGTATAATAGATTAATATGGTACACAGTGGTTAAAGGATGTCTGATGTTGACATGTAGTTTGCTGCCCTCTTGTGGTGGCAGCAGGGTATTGTCTCTGAAAGCTAGCTTGACTTCCAGCCGCTGTATTTAACGTCATCAGACCGTGTCCATTGATAAAGGCTGAAGCTTGTTGAAGCGGAGAGGACAGCAGCCCTTTTACGCATGCGCATTGAGTATAAACCCGGTATCTGACTAGTGACTAGCGATAGCCAAAGTGTTGTTTGTTATACAATAGAACAAACAAAGTAGAGCCAGGGGAATTTATTGTACATTACACAAAAATACATAAACGGGTCACATATGTCGATAGTTTTGCGAGCCTTTTTGTTATTCTAGTTAGATATTAATTTTATGTATTGTTCCACACCTTTAACAAAAACATTCAAATTTGTTTTTTATTCATTAATTTACATTTAAGGATGAACAATTTGGCTAGTAAGTTTAACAAATGTATTATTATAAAGTATTTATCATTCTTTTTTTTGGTTTCTATAGAAACAAAAGACGGCAGCACTGTTTCTGGATGATTCTCATAGAAGCCGCAGTTTGCAAATATGTCTCTTTTGAATTTTAACAGATAACGATTGGCAGGGTAATATTTATGAATAATTTTAAAAGACACTTCCTTCACCTAATTTACATTGCGGAGCTATCGGGTTCTACCGTTCTTAGCTCAGGTATGATGCGGTACACGCATGCGCAGACGTCTATGGAACCTAAACTTGCGCCCTAGCCGTTGGGAGGCAGCAGAAGCAAGTAAATGAGGAAAATACACTGATTAATTATCTGCTCTGTGTTAGCTGTGTTCAAAGTTTGAGACAGAATATTGTTACCGGCGTAGCGTGGCTCCTCTCAGGAAGAGCTCGGTACGTATGTTGTGTGCGTGGCGGGCGACCGGAGCAGAGTTAGCTAGCTAGTTAGCAGTGTAGCTGTGAATATACAGTGAGTTGTACGCGCACTTTAGGCTGTTTGTCACTAAATAAATGCTACTACAAGTTCCCGCGTCTCCCCTGTGCTTCAACTACAGTCCGGACCACGAGCCAGGAAAGTTCAACAACAGGTAAATGCAGGATTCTGCTTTGTCACTGGAGTGTGTGTCATTTAAGCAATATCACACGAGGGGGAGTGATGTACTGAATAGACTCCTTTCCCTTCCTTCGTCCTCTTCTGACGACCACACATCATTTAATTCATGTTATTTCTGTAAATATTTTAATCTAATCTAGTAAATGGTAAATGTTTAGAAAATGACCATAGAAGTGATTTTTTTTTAATTTTTTTTAGATATTTTCCTTTATACTGCACATTTAATATGTTTACTGTCAGTTCAAAGGAATTATAAGTTGCTTAGCTCTTGCTTGAATATCTGTAAAAGTCACAGCAAATATATATATGCGTTACTCTCCCAAATATGTACTCACTTGAACTTTTATAAAACCTTAGTATTCTTAATTTTTCTGTTTTAAAACGTCAAAATATTACAGCAATTTGCTGATCTGAAAACTTCTTTGAAATTATTCAAATTTATTTTCTGCCCTATTTGTAGTCCTGTAGAAAATTTCAAAGCATTTGTTTTTGTATTTTCATCATAAATTACAAACAAATTTTGCCTGGTCATGTCCATTTTATGTAACATCATGTGGTGCGATCATTCAGAAAGACCCTTTTGAGACTTTTATGTTGAAGAGTAGTATTGCAGTAGAAGATGTCAGAAAGAATGATAAATGTTTATTAACAGTTAAGCCTGAGCGTTGTCAATTCTGACAACTAGATGCTCACTAGATCTGAGATTTGTTTTGAGTCTGATGACTCACAATTGACAGTTTTGTTTATGTAGACAGGGTGAGAAAAAAGAGCATTTCTTTACTTGGAAAGATATGTGATGTCTCTGAGGTCAACAACTCTGTTCATATGCTTAGCTTCATCTTTCCAGGTGCTGTAGGTGAACTGGGACTACGACTGTGATGACTTAATTTAAATTACAACAATCTTTTCACTGAAACCTGCTCTTTCTTTGCATGAAAACTAACAGTAAATGTAGGTGTTTCAGTTGAGATCAGAGGTTCCCAAACTTCTCACATTTAACACTATGTACCAAATCAAATTTCCCTAGTGCCACTTCCCACTGCAGATACCAAGAAAGAGCAACCTAGCTTCTCGGGCTATGTCCACATTTCTACGTTTTAGTTTTGAAATGCGCGTTTTGCTCGCCATCCTCACTACTCCGGAGTTTTCAAACACCTAAAAGGGAAACTTTTGGATTCTAGTTTGAAAAACTCTGGGGTTGTGTTTTAGTTGTAAAACTCTGGGGTTGTGTTGTAGTCTGGACGGACAGAAAGTGAGACATTTGTAAACGATGAGGTCACACCCACGGTCTCTCCTGATTGGCTCTCATCAGCCTGGACTACCAGTGGTGAGTACAACATGATGATGAATGTTGTCTTGTTGCTGTTGTTCACTTACATTCTCTGTTTTAATGCTACAACTGCAGAGGAGACAATCTACTTCCTGTTCACACCTGCTTGCACATGCTCAGTGTAGTGAATGGTCATGTGTGTGTGGGTTTTCAGGTGTGTTAGTATGGACAGAGATTGTTTTTGATGCAGAGCTAAAATGGTCGCCTGGACGGAGATCGTTTTCATTCTAAAACAGTGTTTTAGACTGAATGTATGTGGAACCATTAAAACACATATCTTCTGACCACATAATGCTACTCTGAAGTCCAGTGAAAAGTGTGTATACCAGCAAAGGTAAAAGCTGTCTGTTTTGTGATTTTTCTACAGCAGTTCTTTCATATTGCTAAAGCTTGTTTTTATCTCTAAAGTGCCTTGTAAGTAAATTCCTGGTAGCAATATATCTGGTTTAGTGAGGTTTGATAAGACGTCATAGGTGGCAATTCTGCAGGACACCCTTTAAAGAAAAATACAGTGTACAATGTGAGTTGTAACTGGCCGGGTAAAGAATCATATTAACTGACCAGAGTCCCTTTAGTAAGGTTTAAAAAGCACTCAGGGTCTTTGAGGCTAAATGAGATTATTTTTCTTCCCTTGAAGCAGCTCTACCTCCAGCTTATGTTCATAAAGGCCAAACTACACCTTGTATCACCTGAGAGTCCAGTTTACATCATGTTCTCTGTTGTGGAAATAAAGATGTCCGAAAGAAATCTTTGCCTTTCTTGTCATTTTATTCAGTGAAGCAAGACAAAAGAAACAGGGAAAAAAAGAAAGTGATATACAACAGCATAATGTTAACCATAATATGACATAGCATACATTATATATACATATACACAACTACAGAGGTACAAAACGTTTTTTGTTATTGCTATATTTATATTTTGACTTGTATATATATATATTTTTTTATTTATTATTTATGATTTTTCTTTTTGGGTTGGTGTATATAAATATATATATATATAGTGTGTGTATATATATATATATACACATACACACACCATTATTAGTATAATTAAATTTGCTTTGAGATTATTAATGATTATTAATAATCATTAATATACAAAACTTAAAAAGTATTTT